AATGAATTTTAACAGAGATGAGACACGTTCACTGAAGAAGAACGGACGAGGTTGAGAAACATACATGCCAAAACTTAGGACTAACTCAGTCGGGTCTAAATTCTCTTTCAACAAATGAACTATCCCATATGCGCCATCATCGAAGTATCATTGTCGTATTTGTTCGTCACATCAAATCTCACCCATTTGTGATTGTTATCACATGTTAGTGGCACCTACATATGCATTAACTAAACAGTCGCCATGCATGCTCGTATGCCGACAAACATATTCAACCACGTGTCCTGCTGCGGCATTACATGCCTGTTTATCATCTATCCATCCGATTTTCACGATGTGACAAAGCAACGACAAACACACCCTTTCCCTACAGCATAGAAGAATACAGGCATTCAGAACACTGTCTGCAGTTCGTTTTGCTCAATTTACCGTATTCCCTCGAATCCTCCGTCTTTATCTCCATGTCGTTCCAAACATTGGATTTTTGTATTTTCATCAAATTATAATCTTCTCAAACTTAAAACACAAAAACAGCAATACCCTTTTCTGTTAAATATGAATAACCAAGATTTTGCGTTTTATGTATTAATATGTTATATCAGACAGAAAAAATCCACATGTTCTATATATTCATTAGAGAAATACTAAATTCTTAAATGTGAGATTCTATTCATTAACTTACGGAGTCGTGAATTTTCATTAAAATTAAAAATAACATAACAGAAGTTGCTGACCCCATCAAGCTTGAAGGAGAAAGAGAAGTTAATCGTTTAGAAAACAAGTGATGCTGCCTACTCATAATATGTTCGCAATGACTGATCCTAATTAATGGTAAATCCTTTGGGATTATTTTATTCCGTATCATGTGGAACGTCTATAAATATTACTTTGATAAAAGGTCATGTGGACAACGCAGATTGCCGTTCTTGGCAAATAATCAAGATCGCCAAGTCAGTAACTCAATTTTTGTCAATAGACTATCACTGAGGAATATTCTAATTATTGTTTTGTAAATGAAATTCGTACCTAAAATTGTATGACAAAAATTGAGCAGATGATAAGCCAAAACAACGGTTCTCGAAAACTTTGATTTCTTAAATCTTTAAATTTCATGAAATCTTAGGAATTGGTTTAAGCATGATAGATGAGATGTAGAATAGCTAGCGAAAGTTCAAATAAAATCATCTAAAAGAAAATGGTTATAGATATTAATCATTGAGTAAGCAGCGTCTTTTCTCCACATATATTTATTTATTTAAATAGTTATCACGACTTACTTCCAATATTTTGGTATTTCTACAATTGCAATTTTCATTCAGCTCATTTGAAGAATGAAATAATGTATCTAAAACATTTGGTATAAATTTTCAGTTTGATAGTTTAAAAATCTGCTCTCCTCCCAACTACCTATTGACTACTGTAATTTCTTCAAATTTCGAAAATGGAATAGAAACTCTTGAGACTAATGAAGGTCATGTAATAATAATATTTGTTTTATACAGTACTAGTGCATACCAGAAAAAAAATTCTGGTAATATGAATTTTATCTTTTGGACACAGTTTATTTAAGGAAGATATTATGTGGTTCTTAAGGGTGAAGTGTTAATTATCTGCAAACAGATGATCCTTGGAGAGGTACAAATGCATTTGACACCTGTATACACATTTATCGCAGCACTGGATCTAATCCATAATCAGTAAACATCATCACTTAACCATATCAAATAACAACAACCTATTGTTCTTCTTTTGCCTTAACTATCATACCTATCTTTTTCTCATTAAAAGAAACCTTTGTTGAAATTGCCGTTAGAAAATCGTTGAAATTCAGAATGAAATTGAAAAATTCCTAATTTTCGAAAAAAAACTTTAGTTTATTGTTTATTGCTTTTAATAAAAAATTTCAGCTTATTGTTTTTAATAAGAATTTTTATGAGAATTTCAAGTTTGTCATCGACTATTTCGGCTATTTATAAAATTTAATCACTAACACCACTGCTAAGAAGAATATAACCACCATTTTCAATTTTATTTTACCATTGTCTATCTTTTATTATCATTAAATTATTATCAATATTGCTATCATTATCATGCTAGTGGTCGTTAGGTTTGGTAGTCATCACTGATGGTGCATTTGCGCTGTCTCTTTCTCAGGGGGGGGAAATTATCTTCCGGCTCATTGCTCCTTATAGCACCAACAAAAGAAGACGAGCCAAACAAGGAAAGGCAACCGTTGAGCCTCTTTAACAACCACCAAACATCGATGAGCTAGCTTACTCTTCACTAAATTTAATGCTTCTTTAACTGCATGAGCTTATTCCTTTAGTTTCAAACTACTACATGTAATTATAAATCGTAAGACTAGGTTTGGTAGTCATTACTGATGCTGCATTTGCATTGTCTCTTTTATTATTATTATTCTTATTATTAGTATTAGTATTATTATTGTCATTACTATTGTTATTATTTTATTAGTATTATTATTGTCAATATTATTAATATTATTGTTACTATTATTATTATTAATTATTGTTATTGGAGTTCATTTATAAGAAAAGTGACTCCCGAATTCAATAAATAATGGTTTCATTTAGATAATAAAATAATAATAATAGTAATAACAATAATTAGTATTTCTATGACATCATGTTGGATCTTTCTTTAAATGAAAAATGATCTGAATTATTAATGCGCTTAATGTGAATGGTCAGAAAATGGTCCAATTTAAACGATTATTCAATATATAAATGTAATTCATCCAGTAATTGTTTGCGTTTTTACCATTTCCATTGAACCGTTACATTCGGGAATTTCTCATGCTAATAGTACTTTTAGTGAAACAAACTTTTCCCGCCAAATACTTCATTAAAAAAAAAAAAAAAGAATTTGGATAATACTTGTCACTAGTTGTACTGATATTAACAGAAAGGACGGGTGAGAGCACGAGAACTGAAAATAAAGAGGAGGAAATATTAATACACTATGTTTGCATTTTCCATAACAGAGACGTCAAGTTTCGCAACAAAAAAGTTTTTAAAATTTTAACATTTTTACATTCCTTTGTTTCTTAACACCTCCCTTCCTAAACACTGTTGTTTAAAGAACAAGTAGTTTTTACATTCTTTTACTCACCATATCTTTTTTTAATCTGCTTATCAAATGGACATATATGATAACAAAATATCTTATTGGATATATCATTTATTTGTTTAAATAATTTCACATACGCTTTGTTTCACACTGTTGTTCTGTTGTAAGTACAGTATATTTCTTGTGCTCTATCACTGATGAGTATAATTTTGAAATTTCACCAAATCTTTATTTTAGTTTTTTTTTTTTTAACTGTTTCTTAGTTTATGTAAATTATATCCATTCCATACTGAGGTAACATTTCCTTTGTAATACTAATCATTAATAATTAAGAAAAATTTTTTATAAATTAGACGAATTAAAAGCAATCACTGAATCAACTGAAGATTTGAAGAGATTGGACTGAAACTTTCATCAATGATGAGTCAAATGATGAAAATAGCGAGAACTCATGGACGTTCAAGGAGTCTACTGTCGGCATAATTTACCTATAGAAAGAAATTTGAAGTGACTGATGTGTCGTAAAAAAGAGAGAGAATCATTTCATCCTAAGCTATCAGTTCTAATTAACATTAACTAGTAGCCATTTTTTGCCGACCATCAATTAAGTAATTATCTTTTACAGATGCGATACGAAACTTATTTCATTTAAACTTGATCGTTTGTATAATGGGTCATTAAAAGTGAAAGTTTTGAGTATGCAGTAAGCTTAGTATTCATTTTCGCATTAAATTTTTCAAATCTGATCCTATATGAGTTAAATGATAGTGGTGCTGATGATGATGATGATGTGTCAGCTTGAATTTTCTATTCATATATACTTGAACATGGAGAGAATAGTAAATAGAAATGAGAGCAGATAGAGATATATGTTCAAGAACATAACTTTTTCACACCTTCATTTTTCTCGACCATTCATTGAAAGTAAGATAGGAGAAGAATAGAGTGGAGTGCCAATGGAAAAGAGTGAAATCACAACGATAAGATACGGGAAACAGAAAAGTGGAAAGCAAGAGATGAATGCGCTGGAAGAGAGGGTTTTTCTGTTTTTCTTTTTTTTTTTAAATCTGCAACCTCTGAAACAAACGTATATCATCATTATGTTGGTGTGATTTCCAGCAATGGTTTAGTGGCCAGCCGCGAAAAAAAATTGTGTAATAGTCGGCCAGCCTACATATCAACAAATTTGTTTGAAGATATATACTTTTTTCATCATCCTCTTTTTCCCTCTTCTTGCTTACAAGCATATGCTGCAATAAGTTCTTCACTGATTTATTGGGGTTGCAAAAACGACATCACCAATAAATTTTGTTTGACTGAATTATAGATGTAAAATAATTTAGAGTTTTGATTTTTACAAAGACAAAAAAAGTGACCGAGAAAACAAACAAACAAATGAACAATCAAAAAAAAGAAAAGAAAAACATGTTAGAAAACTTACGTGCTGGCTTATTTAAGAATATTTATAAAAAAAAAAAAAAAAAAGTATTTTCTTAGTAATCTAGCAGCCTTAATAACAGCTGCATTAGTTTATCCGGCGATATAATGATGAACTTTTAAGATGGGCTCAATGCAATATTATTCACTACTGTAATCATTGCTTTGGGATTTAGGGAATTGCGGCTGATTTGAAAATTTGCACCCATCTTGGTTGGGCAGATGATAGCCCACTGGGAGAAAATTACTTATCACATATGAAAGGCATCATTTGATATTTATTCCTTACTGCCACAACCAGAAATTTCATTCAGGAATATGATAGGAAATGAAATGTGTCATAACTAAACTAACTTGACATTCTAGAGGTAAATAAATTAGCTAGGCTGATTATTTGAATTAGTATGCGTATGAAGTGACAGATTCGTAAAGTTCAATTTTATTAAACTGGAATTGTTTGAGTGACATGAAAAATGACAACCCAAATCTTCGGGCAGTTTAAATTTGTGCCGCTTCACACAGCTTATCACTTTATAAAATCTGTACATGATGAAGAGCAACTTCGTCAAAAATTCGAAAAAACAATTTGTTTTGATGAGGTCAACCAGAATGCGCACTGGGTTGAGCCAGAAGTTAATGAAGTAGGAAGGGCAAGGACAGAGATGACAGTGAATATGATGGCTGCTTACCCTGAAATATCAAAAATCACCTTTACAGGTACCATTTAGGCTAAATTATCGTCACTCTTATCCTCTCTTTCACCTCGCACTTCATTTTATTTTGAATTTTTTCAGAAAAAGGCACAAATTCCACACCTCTGCTTTTCATTTATATTTAATACAGTGTCACAATTTGTTGTAGAGTCATTTGAAGTACGGCGTAAAATAGTGCGATAAGGGAGAGATTGATTGGTTGAAAACGACACTCGTAACTCCACCCCCAAATTTGCACTCCCTATCCCGAATGAAAGTGAAGTGTAGAGAGGAGGGAAAAAGAGGGGAGAAGGAAGGATCTCTCTGGACCAACCCACCTTCTGCCTCACATTTTGATAGAACAATGCGGAGGAAGAGGGAAGAAGGAAGCTTCCCCTCATCACCGCCGAGCTCGATTAGTTGTAAAAAGATGGAATCGATGGGACGGATGGGTCTATAGATGGACAGATGAATGGATGGTCTTTAAGTTTCCCGTGAACTTCGGATCAACTCCGAGTGAGTCTGGAATAATCTCGCAGAAATCTCCTTTGTGAGCGGTAGCAATTTAAGTTACAATAGATAAAATTCGCTTTCCAATGGTATAAGTATCATCTTGTTACCGGGCTGATGACAGCGATGATAATGATGATGGTTACGATAAGAACGATTATAATGGTGATAGTAATCACGGTGGTTTATACGTGTTCGATCTAAAATTGATAATGGTCTTTTAAGAACCATCATGAGCAGGAACAGCCAATTGACTTCTAAGTGTTACTTACTATCTAGGGAAAGGTCTTTATTATAATTGATCAGATAGTGACGGCGAATATCATATTATTATTATAGCAAACAGAATTTGCTGCATATTTGCTATGATTAGGCTCAATTAAATCTACAACAGGCTAAGATGTGAGCTGATCTGATACTTTTTGAAATTCTAAATAATTATTCATATATCTACAATACATGATAATCCTAGATCTTTCAATTATAGTTATACCTATCTCGATGCATCACCTGGCTACTGTTTACATAATCATTGCAGAACTATAATAGTAATATCCTTCCGCATATCTGATAACAAGAACAGAACATTACACCATAACAAATAACAAATGGAATAGGTGTAGGAATCGCATTAAAATAAGAAACATGGAACCATTTCAGGAAAATAACTTCGAAAAAGTAACTGATACCTAAAAACAGCTGAAAATATTTGGTTCGGAATGAATATAACAACACCATCATGGCGCCTCATCACAATGTATATATATGTTTTTCTCGAAAATATACCCAAATTTATGCACCATCCGCACGAGCACTTCTCACTCAACGGTCATCGGGATATTTGTCTCTCTGTCCGTTCGTCTGTCTGTCTACTTGTTCGTCTGCCCACTTGTCTGTCTGTTGATTATTCATATTGTTATCACTGAATTGCTGATGCTGTAAGTGATATTCATAATTTTTTTGCTTATCAAATATACTTTGGCACTTTATTCTTTTGGAATAAAAGTGTTAGACTTAATTTGAAACGTTGGATTAGATTAACTTGAGTCAAAATAAAAATCGCAAAGAAGTAAGATTGGTTTTTATCTAATCCATCTCCTTTTTTCTGAATGCTTTACTTTGGTTACAAATGATAGTAATTCGCCTGTCATTCCTATTTTCTGCAAACATCGGAGTTTTCGTCTTTTACAGAACTTTGAACATTGAGATGACTTTCTTTCCTTCCCTTCTGTTTTAACTTATGAAAGTTTAACAATCCTTGAATGCACTGTTAAGTAAATCATTTAATATATTGTCATTCTTCGAAGAAATGATAAATTAGATTTTAATAATAAAAACTATAGCTATTGGATTTCTGCTGTGTTCCTTCCTTAATGCACAACTTTTTTTTGAAAGCGTTAAACATGTTGTTTATATCTCTGAAAATCCAATATTATAAAATTTCTGTTTTAGACAAGGATTTCGAATATTAAAACATCAAGCTGGAACAAAGCAAAGTCAAATAATAGTGTGCATTTCTTCATATTCTGCGGAAATGGAGTATAAATTCCAACCGAATAATGTTGGTCATCCTGGAGACTTATATCAACCCATTCAGTCAATCCAGGAAACAGTTATTGATGCTGATCAAAATGTTCCGGTTAGCGATCTCAGCGCACTGCAAATGAGTAGTAATACTCAGAGTCAGGATGCCACTAATCCTGCACAAAACGATGATTCCGTAGGGTTTGCTTAAATAAAAATAAAACGTAGTTTTGTAACTTCTATTTTTTTCTGTCGTGAACAAAAGTTATTTTTTAACTTAGAAATATTTAAAACACACAAATGTTTTAAATTCTGTTTCAAATAGAACAAATCTTGCCACTTGCTTTATGAAATAAACAAGCAATTACATTTGTTCACAGGTGTTCTCACCGATTAAACCCTCCACCTTTTACTCGAATTCAACACAAAGCGGTCAATTATACTACCAAGGAACGCCGAAAGTGCCAGACAGTTACGGTATGCAAAAATTGTAGGCTTTGAAAATTTTAATTCATATCTTTTTACTATTAAAGTTCTCACAATCTTTAGGCACAGGCGGTCAGTTTTACCCAAGTCTTTTTTTCCAAACCTGGCCTTATTCAAGCACAACAGCTAATTCATCGGTTACTGCCACAATTGCTGGAGCATCACCTTGCTCCTCCAATACTGCTGAACTAAGCTTCACGCAACCAACTACTGTTATTACAGATCCTACTCAAATGCTTGTTGGTTCGTATTCAAATTCATCAATTTCTTCTCAAAAAAATTAAATAAAGTTATTCAGAGCAAGACAAACAATGAAATTCAAAAATTTAATTAATTTATTAATTAATGTTTTCTATTAATTAATGTAATTTATAACATTATTTATTTTGATATGTTTAATATAATTTCAATATGACGATTTAATCGCATCACTTTTAATATATTTTAGTACAAATTGATTTTAGTTTAATATAGCTAGCACATATTCTAGCGCCTAATCAGACAACAACTCAAAATTTCTTTCCCCAAACATATCAAGCTTATTCAACGACGGATTACTATAATCCACTGCACAGTGCAAATTTGCTAGCAGCACAAACTCGTTTAACAGCTCCCACATTGGCATGCTCATCGTCCGGTTCTGCTTCATCCAGATCATCTACTGGTGCTTCCGGAGCTTCTCGTTCCAAAACCAGAAACTTTACATGTAAGCAGTTTAGCACAGTCATCTTGGTTTTACAAATTTGAAACGGAAAGTCAAAAAAGCCTTATTTTTTATGATTTAGCTACATTTTTTTTGCCAGTTTTCTTGAAAATATTGTTCATCTTTGTTAGAAATACTGGAAGGAAATTTTTTTTCGGGAAAAATAGAGTATTAATAAAGGCTTAGACCTATTATCTTGTAAACTTGTGATCACTTAGATTGTCTATGATCATTTCAACTAACTCATCATCCGTCATCTGCTATAATTACTACTCATGTACTTTGCAGCAGAAGGACGGGAATGTGTCAACTGCGGCGCCGTACAGACCCCTCTATGGCGAAGAGATGGTACTGGTCATTACTTATGCAATGCTTGTGGACTGTATCATAAAATGAATGGACAAAATCGTCCATTGGTCAAACCCAAGAAGAGACAGGTAATGTAGTTTAATTTCACTTTTGTCTTTTATCCTTTATCTCAATAATTCCATGAAAAAGTTTAAAATTATAAATATTCATCTCTGTCTACATTTTGATCTTCTCATGCGTCCGAATTTAGTCGACTCACTGAGTTTTTAAAAGCTTACTTAGAACACCAACCTTTTTTTTGGAAGTTTTATTTATAGCTCCAAGGCTAGTCAGAGTGCGACGTATCACGCTACTGATTATCTGATAAAACTACTGTACCAAAAAAGAAAGTAGAATGGAAAAAAAAGTTTAAAATAATTATGCTTTATACCTTATAATTATCGCAATCTTAATTTTGTCGGCTACGATATCAAGTGTTCTTATCAGCCAAACATGTATCAATATATTATCGTATCGATGTGATAAATCTTTGATATATTAGGAGTAATGACAATGACATAACCGATAGCAATCATTTAACTGATTGTCGTTAATTTACTCTATAAATTAGCTAATCTGCCTTACTTTCATATGTTTTAATTAATTATCCATTATTATTAATTATCTATTATTTCGCTTCAATAACTTTAAGCTTCAGTTCATCAGTAAACATTCTTTAATAATTAAACATTAAGAAGTTTTGATTTCAACCCATTTTTTGGTATACTGATACCGATAACATTAAAATTTATCGACAAATTCATGAAATCTGACTAATGATACTTAAATCATCTAAGGGATCCAAATTTGATTCCTCACGGTAGGAGTGTTTTTTAGATGCACACATTTGAAATAGAAAATATTTGAAAAGCAACACTTTTGATGCAGCAACTATAAATAAGGCTACGGTACCTACTCTATGTGAACCGGTTTCTCACTTATTCTCTAAATTTTTATTAAAAAATTTTTCATTTCATCCAGAACTTCAGCATTTCAGTCCAAATGATTATTACTGAAGAAAAACTATGCAAATTATAAGTTCGAAAATCCAATAAAAAAGAGTTTCGCATACTAAGAAAGTAAATATTGTGAACAGAATTGTTATATCGGGACAGTATACTTTTACTTACCTCAGGGATTCCCTCAGTTAACTCTCAAATGAAAACTGTAACTGTTTATTCAGATTGGGTAATTTGAAGTTTCATTTGAAATTCCCCTAATTTTAGTGAAAGCTATAACAGACTAATCTTAAATGCAACTGCAGTATGATAATTATAAAAATGAGTGGCTAGTCGCAAACGATTAATTCAAAAAAACGGAAACACTAAGTAGAGGTAAAGGAAGGAAAAAGGAAGTTCGAAGGTCATTATTTTATTGAATCTGTCAATCAGATCTTTAGACTTTTACTCTAAAAGCCCTTCAATGATCAGTCGTTAACTTGAACACTGCTCTATTTGTCTGTAATCTGAGACTAAATGTTTATCAAATTTCCATGCTGTCATTTAATAACACACATAATATGTTGACACTAACAAGAACAACAACAGCAACTATAAAACGTAATCTATACGTCGATTCGTGTTACATTGCAATCACCAATGCAAAGTATTTGAGGGATCGAATGGTGATTCACTTTCATGAAAGTTTATTCACGGTTGAATCATATCCTGTCATATCTTCATTGTCACTTATTCATCACATTTCAATCTTTTTCTTCTCTGAATGTTCTTACATGAATCATCGCGTTCATTTTGTTGTTTCTCCTAACCCTGCGATCATTTTAATCAGTGATAAGACAAGCATTATTCAAGTATTGATTGGCGCCAATAACCATTAACCAATATTTGTAATTATTGGGAGAAAGTACGGGTTTTCTTTAACTTTTTGATGAATTTGGGATGAGGTCCCGTTATTTTTCTGAAGCAAACAGATGATCTTTCCTCACTCCGTTTTACCACTGAACTATCTTGATTTGTTCTTGTATGTAAGCACAAAATGGCATAATTTAAGTAGTAGTTGCTATCAATGCAATCACAAAATGAACCCGATGTTGGGATCATCAGTTTTATGATTAAGACTGTTGGCAGAGGGTATTTTTCAGCTCTTCATTAATTAAAAACCATCGGCGTGAGGTGACATTTTTGCTAGCTTTCTCCGTGCATTCAACCTATTAAACGTATCGAAGCGGTGCTTTTTGGAACCTCAGAGGGTAGAAGGGAAGATAAGTGAATTCCAAGGACAAACAAAAGAAAAAGACAGGGAGAGTAAGAGAGATTTTGTGGAGGCAATGGACTCCAATGATATGACTTATCTCAAATATTAGCGAAAGAAGGTGATCGAGGAGGCACAAGTGAAACAAAAAAACGGGGGAAGGAGTAAGTGCTTGAGAAGAATGTAGAATGGAAAATTTTATGGCAGGCCTAAAAAATATTTTTAAATTCCAAAAAACAAACAGCCTTAGCAAGTGTTTTATACGGTTTAAGAATGTAAAATGTACAATAGTAGACGGTTCGACTATGAGTTAAAGAGCTTTAAGTACATAAGTGTATCCCTGATGCAAGTTATTACAGTACACTCAACCTGCAACATCCGATATACACATTGATATATACAACAGTTACTTGATTGAGCTACATTCAATCAGTTAAGAGCAAAGTTTTACAACTTATTGAATGCATTCATTGAATGTTTCAACACTGCTTTGCTACAAACAAAGAAGTACTCTGACTTGTACTTTGACTTGCTCACTTCAAGAAAAAATGTTTCAAATGTTGCTTTAATAAAACAATAACCTTCTTGTTTAAAAATTTAAAACCTGAAACTATACTTCAGATTTCCGTTAAATTTATAAAAACTTAAGTCTTGCGAAAAGGAATTTGCAAAAAAATTTCCCTTTGCAACAAATACGTCCATGTTTATTTAATTTATTGCGATCTTTACAACGCAGAAAGACAGAGAGTTGTTCCTTTGTTTTGAGTCATTCATTTTTTTTTCAGTTTTAAATTTGAGGAGGTACACGCATTAAGAAGAATATTTAGCCTAATTCTACTAAGCGTTGTACTGAAACAAACAGTATTTGGAATTGAATGCTTAATATTTGCAGAGTGCACAAAAAAGGACGGGTATCGAATGTGTCAATTGTAAAACGAATAATACAACATTATGGAGGCGGAACTCTTTAGGACAACCAGTTTGCAACGCCTGCGGTCTTTATCATAAACTTCACAACGTTAGCTATTTTAAACCAAGTATCCAAAAGTGGAATAGAAAGGAAAGATGTAAATTAATTTTCATGGAAACTAGTGCTTTTTTCAATAGAGAGGCGACATGTGAAGTGTATGGTCAAGATAATAATGATTATAAAGCAAAGTCACGATATAGCAGAGCATGAAGCTAAGGCCATTAGCAAGTTTTCAAAGAGTAAAAGGAAATATGCAGTAGTTCATTTATTAGGATAAAATTTAGATCTTTAGATGACAAAACAAATATCGCACATATTTTTATTAATTGCACATTTTCTTGCTTCTGACACTAAATTTTAATTTATATAAAAGCAGGAAGTAAAAGCGATGAATGAGAAAAGTGTAAAGAGGTAGAAACTTTTATTCTTACTTGCAATACAGTATGGTCATTCAGATTGCTTGACTTACAAGTTTACTATGAAATGAATTCGAAATGCTCACCCTTCAAAAACTGACATTTGAGTTGTTTATTTATTAAACAATTTTTAGTCAAGTTAATTAAATCTCGTAAAAGTTGATTTCTTTTTTTTAAAAAGTAGTCGGTTTTTCCGCTTTTTCAAGTGATCAACGAATTCTAAAAAAAAAAAAAAAACAAAAAAGGGAAAAAAAATTAATGTAATTCAGTAATGAGTTGTAACACTGTATGTTACTAAGGAGGCGCCCACTGTCTAACCATAAATATGATTGATGATCGTGGCTTGGGCATCGTAAACGTCTACCATTGTGCATCTATTTATAGTTTATGCAAGAAAGCAAACGATGATTTACGAAAAAGCTGAAAACAATCTATAATTAATGAAGTTAATTGCCTATTGAAGATTTTATTCATTATTTTTTCTACAACCTATTTGTTGATTTTCTCGGGGCTTAACATAATTCTTCTTACTCAATAATTTTATAATTTTTTTTCGGTTTAATTAAAAAGTATTAGTACTGGTGTGAAAAGCTTTCCGTTTATTTCCGTTAAGTTGCGAAAATGTATGTGGGCTGAAATTTAAATTTGAAAGGATTAAGTTGTAAAATATCCCACTGTTACAACATTTCATAGTAAGAAGGAAAGCTATTGTTCTGCTGTGGAATGAAGACCGAGGAATGCTTTTGCTTCCAAGCCGCCTTTAAGTCCGTTGATCAAATTGTACAGCCATAAAGCTACCGCAACGACATTTGTAAAAGGACACCTGCTACTGATTTCATTACAATAATTCGCAATGATGCTTGGCAGACTGTTTCAATCATAGTCACCCCTTTTTCGCGCCTCATTTATTATCCTATCAACAGATGCTTAACACATTTTTTCAATTTTAAACTAGATTAAATGCATTCATTTAGTGATTCTCTATAAATCAGCTGGAAAGTCACAAATCAGCAACACAGGATGGACTGGTTTTTTTTTTTTTTTGCAGATTTCACGACCAATTTCGATGAAAAAGGATGGTATTCAGACTAGAAATCGTAAAATCAGCACGAAAAACAAGAATAAGAAGCGTGGTCCATCAGAAGGACCATTCTACGATATGTTGAAGCCACAGCCGAACCCATACGGTGATATGAAGTTTCATTTACCTTCCGCTCACGCATATATCCCAGCTGCCACTCAAACACCATATCCGGCTCAATTCATCTTTCATGCCTCATAATTGGACCATTTTTCTAAAAATTTCTCCTAATTTTGTTTCCGAATTTTTTGAATCAATCTTGCATGCTTGTGATCCATGAAAAGCGAGCTTTATTATTCATGCCTTTCTTTCTTCTGTATTTCTTCCTGAAACTTTTTTCCTTCGAAATATATTTTCCTCCCTTGTTTTTGTTTAAGACCTTAAAATTTGCTGTTCCAATTAGTTGAAGCAATTGTACATTTATTATAGAGCAGACGTAAAATTAAGGTCAGATGAATACGTATTCATATAATCATTGTTAATAATGAAACAGAGCACGCATTGACCTCAATCACTCTTTACATTACCAAATGATAAAATGGTAACTTTCTAGATCTTCTGTATAATGAATTTGTATGGCTTTGTTCTGTTTATTAAATGGTTCCTAAAGTGCCTCCTGTTTAATTCATTGTAAAATTAAACTGTTCGATATATTTCATGTGTGGAATCAGTCATTTGCTCCGTGCTGTTACTATCATATTTAAGCAAAATTCACTGAACGTCAGCAATGCATGGTGAAAAATTTTTACTTTTCAAGCAGATTTAAAGAATTACCAATTCTGAATTTTCACTAACAAATTTGAATATGCAGTTCTTAAATTGTTTGACCTGAATCATCTCTGATCGACTTAAGTTACCGAGTGGCGAAGCCACTAATTTTATTAATGAACTGCAAATTATACTTTTTAATTTTTTTAAAGCAATGCTTTCTTTTTTTGTCGAAAAAAAGCAATGCTGAAACTTCTGAACGAAAACAGTAGTTTTGTAAATTCAATTTCAATTTTATGGCTAGTCAGGCATTCATTTTTAGAATCAAATGCATTAGAACTGCACGGAATTAAAGTATGAAAGTTACTTTTCTCCAAAGCACATGTGATATTGATCTAATTCTTTAATCGATTTTAACGCAATTCCAGAATTTTGGCCATTCTAAAAACTTATCATGCTTATCATTCTGAAAAACATATGTCATGTTTTTGAATCACTCACGATAATTTTGCCATTCCTTCTACTTATCTATCGTCACATTAATTCAGTGGCAATAATAAATAGATACGAAATAATGACTGCAACAAGCACTTCTGTACGATAAAAAATACAAGCATCCGTTCTGTTCTTATTTTATTTTGAGGCTCACATAACGACTTGGCTTCGTCTTCTCGCGAATGACTTTTTTTTTTTTCCGAAGTTCTTATTTTGAATAACTATGCATTTTCCATTACTTATTACTTGTTTGTCAGTTTTCAAAATATTACCCATGAAATCATGAAAAAAAATGAAAAGGTATAGCAAGAATGTTTTTTACAGTTTGTGAGGTAATCGATTGAAGGGAATGGATAGCGGCATCCTCCAGCCTAGCAGAAATCGCAGTAGTTTTTTTATTGTCTCAGCTTGCACAACTCCTTTATTTTTGCTCTTCTTCTCTAAATAAATACAGGCTTTAACCGGAAATGGTACGAAAAAGATATTTTTTATTGTTTTTTATTAATTTGATATTCAAATTAAGAAAATAATCTCAGTCCTTTGGAATTACATTCACTTGGCTTCTGGCGCCGTTTACTGCTGATATCGCCACCAGCAAAACGGAAATCATTTAATCAAAAGTATGTCTTAACTGAATGTTACCAGCCTTTGTTCCTCCTACATAAGAAGAATTTGTCACAGTCATGATTTTCTCATGCTAATTAGAATACATGAAGGCAAAATCTGGTTTTTAAAATCGGAAAGATTGCTTAAAATGCTAGTGATAAATATTTGATGATCTTAAACAATATGACACATTAAAAGCTATGGTACTCTTTATTTGGCGGTACACTTTTCAGGATTAATATTAACCAACTATTATGCATTCGCGATCACATTGTTAATAATGTATTTTATATATTGTAATTACCATGGAAATATTTAATGAATTTATTGTCATCAAAAGTGTTGATCAGATATGCAAATTTGGTAAAACTGCCATAGAAAACAAGTGAATGAGCTAAAAATTTAGGTTAATCGGTTAGTTAAGGAGGGATTTCTGGATTCTGGTGAGTGAAGTGAGCTCGGTCAGAGCAGAACCCGTTTTCACTTCTCTTTGATGAAATTCTTCACTCTTTCCTTACCATCCCATCAACCTCCCTTCTTTCGTTTTCCCCAACTTATGATATCGTCTGATGCAATCAGTTTAGTCAGTTTAGTGCTGGCAAAAGCGAGGTCGTTTGATCGTTATCTGGTTCACTAGCTCCTCTTCCATCATCCACTTGTCCGTTCGCCCTCCTTTTTCCTAAAAAGGTCGTTTCACAAAATTATTTCAAATAGACATAGACATACATATATATTCTAGAATTTTAACATGTTTTTATTTCATTAATTATCAAACAACCTACTCCTATACTTCATTCCTACCTACCAATCAAACGATACTAAAAATATTGCTATTGAATTTATTTAAGAATCTGATCATAATAATTTAGTAACAACCACAACAAAGAGTAATTTGATGAAAAACTTGCATCCCTGAATTGAAATTTTAAAGATTGAATCTATGCATTGAGTGAATATTTTAGGCGTGTTCGAAAGTAAAAATTACTAGTCTGAATAATACCATTCTTTTCAATTGAAAAAAAAAGGTTTGTTGTTCTTTGCAATTTGATATAATCAATGACATGAAATGTCTATCCAAAAGAAAATCAAATCCGAGCAGTAAACAAGATAACATTTCCAGACAGTTAATAAAATTGATAGTCATAACATATATTGCTACACGCCTGAATTCAATTTAAGAAATTAGAAATGCTTTTCATATTGTAACAGAAAAGTTTGACTGATGAAGGACAATTTCAGGATGCGAATTTTCTCCTAATAATTCTCTCTTTTTTGGCAAAAGAGAAGATGATGAGAGCAGTCGAGTTAGATTACTTCATACAAATCGAACAGGGTTTTCAAGAATTGATATAAATTACTTCTCCAAAATTCGGAAGATTTAGATTTTGGTGAAATATATGCCGCTGGTAACGCATGGTTAAACTTCAATAAATAAATGAAAGTTTAGTCCATTTGAAACTTCATCTAAAAAAATTAAAATGAGTGACAATTTAAAAAACTTTGTGTATTCACTTTATGTTTCATTAATTTGTAGAAAAATAGCTTTTAGAAATTCCTCATTGTGTCTCAACATTCTACATGCTTCATAGAAGGAATGTCACCATTGATCGATCCACTGCATATTTTTCATTTGAAGTAATCACGCTAGTAAACTTTAAAAATTTCTATTACTGTGAGATATTAAGAATAGTGGTATTCATAATCAGTTCGTAATCTATTCATATGGATGACAATAATAATGGCAAGGTAATACAAAAATAGTCCGTACGATAGCTAATCATATAAATATTCGTACACTGTTGTAAATGTCCATATACATGTATACTATTTTATTTATATGTATGTTTGTACTAATTCCAAAACTCCAATTTAATCTTTAAAAACTTTTTTTTTTTTTTGCATGAATTCATAATGAATTTTGATAATTGTAAAATCAGATAAAATTCTACGTTCCTGAACTAATAATCGTGAACATTCGGAATAAATTTTTTGCTGAGCCACTGGATGTTTCTGAACTATAGGAGTAAAGTTAAAAAAAAAAAAGTCCACGAGTTGAGCATACGAATGTAACAATAAAAGTTTTTTCATTTCTAAGATCAATTACCATATTTCAAGCACACAGTTCCAATCAAATTATTTTATGTGCTATAACGATGAAATGACTTATACTTCAGTTATTAGGGAACTCTACTTTAGATTTCACTATTAAATATGAAGGTAATCTTCAGAGGTTTAGAACTGCAATATTGGTTGGACATCACAGAAATTTAGAACATTTTTACAGATGTCCTTCCTTCCAGATATTCTTTCTGTAAGCAGAAGTTACAAGGCGTACCACTTGTTAACCTTCTCCTGTCACTCTCAACCAGCAAACTGCAAGGAATTTTACCTTCATAACCAAAGATTGGAAGTAATACTGAGAATGGCGAATCCCGAGGGCGAGATCCAACTTAACATCAATTATTACAACTACACATTAAAGTTGCAAATTAAAAGAAAAACCTACAGTATTTTCAAAATCACTTATGTAAAATTGCAGATCCTCATCCAGTAAACTCCTATAATTTTCAGCAAAGCAGTATCTGGTGGAAATCAAATGCCAAAAAAAATTCCATGAGAACTAACCAATAAAAGCAGTTAGAAGGGTTCGCGGGAGCAAAAGTAAATTAAACTATCATTAACAAAACCTACCACTAGATTGAACTTTTTTCGCATAAGCATCCAAAGTCTCGACCAATGCTTCAGCAGTCTTTCACCATTGTTTACGAAAAACAGCTCTGATTATTTAGACTTGACATGAGCGATACAAAAACGTTTTATATAGTAGTACGTCTTATTGAAGTTGTTACTAGGGGGCTATGTTTCTTGAACATATACAATCAAGATCAACAAATGGTAACCAACATGGAATCAATGAAAGGGAGTACCCACTACGGTAATGCAGCAATCACAATTGATATAATCTCAGATAAAAAAATAATTGTCTGAGACATGCAAATTTCTAAGTCTTCAACAAATTAAATTTGGAATTTCATTCATTAGAGCAAACTGGCTATATTAAAACAAAGAACTGAAGAATTTAGAAATCCCTAAAGTCGTCAATGACACATTTCATGAAGAAATAAGAAATCCAGTTTGAAAGTGCGTATTTATAAATTAAAAAAGAAACATTCCTCATCCGAAAATAACATATCACATACTGGTGTAACAAAGGAAACATCAACAAACTGCTAAACCCCACCTTAAAACAAAATAATAAGAAAAAGGAATGCAGTGTTTCAGAAACACAGCCAAAGGTATCACTCATTATTTTTCAAACTCAATTCATCAATATTGAACGCAATATCGTCATCAAACCGATCATCATCTTCGTTATCGCTCCAAGCTATTAC